GCGAGCTTGTGGTTGGTAAAGGGTCTCATGGAGAAACATGGCCGGGGTTCCTTGATCTGTTTTATTCATTGGGAGAAAGTAAAGATCACTATCGACGTGAAGGTTTGAAAGGAACTCGGATATCTTATTTTTGTGAACGGGACAAGTAACATTCGTATTACCGCCACCACTGACATATATCGGTGTTTAGAGCTCCTATCACCTTTTGTCACTTCACCAGTGTTATCCTCAATTCTGATCAGAAAGGGACCATTTGGGCTGCAAGCGAGTGGCGGATACCGTCAGAGTCAGTAAGGAAATGTAACACTAGATTGATGAAAACAGACTGTATCGAGCTCGGTCTCGTAAGACAGCACGGAAGATGGGAGAAGGAAAGCACGATGATTCAGGGGACATCTGGTTTCCAACTTATTTCCTACATTGGGTTTCCTCGCTTGTAATTTCTCTATAAGAAACCCATGGCGCTCAGCCCAGAATACAAATGATATCCACTTTGGTTGAATTTTTGGCCGGAACCGACCTTCGACAACGACTGTTCCAAACCAAGAATCACCACCTAAATACGCGATTTTCAATGGTCACTGGTCACTGGTGTCAAACACAATTTGTCGCGAGTAAGCATTGGTACTTAGATACATTACACGATATCGACGAGGTATCTGTAAGAGATATCTTGATACTCTCACATTTAAGCCTGACTCTGGACATCCTGGTTCTGCACAGCAACGATGGTGACGACGGTGTCGTTGAAATCGCGGTCCGAGCCGTCTTCTGTCAGGATCTGTTGACGCCATGCGTTATATATTCCTGTCTATATGTAAAGGACAATGAGGTTCTTATAGTATAGATGAGGTAGGACTCCTTGGAGTCACCCATTGGACGTTTCTCAACCTATCAGAACATAAATTAGCCCGTACAATTGAAGGGACTATAATGCGGTAAACCTACCACGAAGGGGTGCGGAACGATGGAGGGCACAAAGTCTTTGCTATCTGCGGGCTTATTCTCAACCCTAACAAGGAGCTGTACACCTTGGGGCTGGGGGCCGACGAAAATGCCCGCAGGTTGACGGGTCCTCTCGTCGTAGAAAGGGCCATTCTCTCCTCCTCCAAGCAAGACCTGAGGTCCACTTGGACCAGGTTTGACGAGATAGCTGACGGTGAGACGATGCAAGCTTTGAGCATGCAAGATCTGGAAATTCAAGCATGGGTACAGCCATTGTCACTTGAGAAGGACTGGAACGTACGGCAGAGCCAACAACTGTATAGTTAGGAGGGATGGGGATGACGACTTGTCCGGGACCGCTCATAGTGTGTGTATTGAAGTGTTTGAAAGGACGAGGAGAAGGAAGCTTTGAAATTTGACGGGTGGTGGGGTATCCATGTCGATTCCCTTGCGCTTTTTAGACCAAAAGTGGTACGGTGAAGAGTGTTCCTTCTAGAACATGGCGGGTGATAGAGTTATGCCTGACGATCATACCCAAAGTGGCGTTGGGGCATTCGGGGAGGGATCGAGTCAAAGAGACATGACACCTGAAATGTAACGCCGATGGATGTCCATTCGGTTACATCGAGTCTGAGATGCGATTCCAAAGAGTGGTGCTAGATGTCACATTGCGACGGCGACAGAAGCAGCCTAGGGTATGGCCTAGTCCATCGATGGGAATGTGTAAGTCGTTATCTCTGTTCTAGGAAGTCCGACGAGGAAATTTGGACGACAGAAAGCATCTATGACCAAAGTTTCCGCTCCAAGGAGAAGAGTGGAGCACAAGAGCAGCCGCGTGCTCCAAGTTGAGCGATGTCAGGCCCTAGGCTGGAGGGATATCTCGTTAAATGGAAGAGATCGATTCAACGAGGTTCAGTCGTCATTGGTCAAGCTCGGCCGCATCCACAGCAATCACCACGGTCGATGAAACCTGTAAAATTCGTGGATTCATACGTATACCACTTCATGTAAATGAAAGAGACTGAATTTACTTTGGTTAACATATGGATTGTCAGAAAGAATGATGCCGCGTCCTTAAGTACTTGTTGTCAACTATAGTATGTTGAGCAGATCCCTAGAGTGGTAGATCTAATCGACTTACATGCATAAATTACATGAAGACTTGTTTATAAATGCGTCTAAGCCAGCGCGGAATAGAGGAGAGGAGTGTCACGTCGTGGTCGTGGGCAAGTCCTGGGTTTGGAAAAATGTCACCGGAACTCTCCATGATGGCTGTCTCATCATGCATCAGTGGCGGTGCTTTGGTGCCTTTTCTCTTTTTTCTCCCTCACCGAACTGCGAGCGGGAAGCCCACAATCCGCCTTATCAATATCGAGCCTAGTATTTCAGTGCTACATATGGTGGTGAAAATTTCCAAATATTCATGAAACATGCTGATGAAATTTAAAACATATTCAGGTGTAATATTTTGTTCGTGAGATTTATTCCCAACCACACCCAAGGTACCGCTGTCCACCCCCAATCTTCAGGGAGTATCTAGGCGTCGTAATGGTGAGATGGCCGAGCGGTCTAAGGCGCCAGACTAAGGTGTTGTAGAAAGTTTCTCTGATCTTCGCTACCCTCGGTATCTGGTCTCTTCGGGGGCGGGAGTTCGAATCTCCCTCTCATCATTGGTCGTATTCCACTTCCCTTTTTCGAATTTGTTGACTATTTCCCTTTTTCTTTTCACTGTTAGCCTTGAGGCCGGATTCTGCAGATACTTAGCCCTTGCGAGCTCCGAGGATCTATAGCTTCCTCTCCGTAACATATGCAATCATTCTACATTCTAAGTGGAGGTACTTATATTCCCTGCGCCACGGATGATTTTATCCTTAAGCTTCTGATATTGAAACGCACTACTACATGGCCATGGAGTTACGTGGGGGAAATATATCCACATTCTATATTCATAATTGCTGTATAAAATACAATTGAGTCGATCACCATGATCTCTCTTCTATCCAGTGTCTATCACTACTTCCCCACACCACGACCATTTCCATTTCCATGACCCTGAGCCAACCCACCAAGCATCTCCATCGCCTTCCTCCTCCCTACCTCCACTTCCCCACCCATCGCTTTATCCCACCATCTCTCCTCGACAGGAACATCCCTCCATCCGCCTTTAAACAACGTTTGAAGTTTCTTCGTACTTCCTCCATGCGTACGTGTGTGGATACGTTTGGCTTCGATCCAATGTGGTGGGGGGTTCGAGGGGGAGTACGAGTGTGGTTGGGGAGTGGTAGTTTTGGTTCGAGGTTGAGACGACGGGGATGGGGGTTGGGGAGGAGATTCGACATCTGGTGATGATGACGATGGCGGTAGCGGCGGTGGCATGCTAAACCCACTCAAAGCAAGGACAAGCGCAGGCGGAACCGTAATCCTCCCAATCTTG